CAGCCCTACTTCGGTTGGCCTTCCAGAATGACCTCTGAAAGAGAAGTCGTCAGGCTCCGTTTCAAACATTCCAGGCATCTTCAGAGGCATGAAGGCATGCTGGGTCGGGCCAGATCTCAGGGCAGACATAAGGTGTTTGTTAGTTATGGATAGCAGGTGGACGGGCTGTCGTCAGCAGGTGCCTGCATGCAGAGTTAGGCCAGGTGATGGAATCCAGTCTGGAGAAAGACCAGGCTCGTGATAGGAGACTTAGGACAGAGCTCTGAGATGGACTGAGATTAGGGAGAGATTTCCATTTATCACTGAAGTGTTATGGATTGGTACAGTGGTCATACTAGGTCTGGGTGGAGATAGGGATGTGTATGGTTTGGTTTGCATAAATGTAAAGGACTGAGAACGTTGAGAACTGACTTTTCGTAAATTTCGAGATCTGCCCTGGTGTAAGACAGACCGTTGATGTTAGAAGAACAAGATGGGACATAGTTCACATGACACAGAGCACAAAATTAATTACATAACACAAGCGCATAATAAATATATTATGTATTTTGTAAATTTCATTAGTTTTATATATATATATATATATATATATAAGGGATGCCACAATTCTCAATATAATATTGAAACATTCGTTACGACATCCACAGTTCAATACGTGCTTAGAATTTTTTGGGGTGGGGGGGTTTGCGCTGAGATGAGGAAACACCTCCCTACTTATAATGTGCATTTGACAAAGCAACACACACCAAACATTGTAATGAGAAGTGTTTCTAAACCTGTTGTTTAACAAAAGAAAACAATATATGTTTTTACTCCACAACATCAGTCGAGTGTTTGAAATAACTTCCTTTTGTGATCTGATGTGGCTTCTTATCATAGAATAAGACAGAAATATATTCTATAATGTAATAAAGGCTATGTCAATTAGCAATGGATTATAAATACAGTATACTTAAATGGGTTATATGATGCGATTTCAAGTTTTCCTTTCTCTTTGGAGTGTTACAAGCTGTTCGTGAATAGATAAGATCCCTAAAGTCTCAAACCCAAAGAGATATTCTTTATAAAAGTTAAGACTGGTCCACGCCCTCCTAAAACGCCTCGTTTAAACACGCCCCCACGTCTACGTCACAATGTGGGAAGATTTGCATAACGCCGCCCAAATGTTCACGCAAAGAAAGAAGGCGTAACTTTATTGTTGCTGCCACCGCTGCCGCCATGTTGTGAAGACGCTGTGTGTTTCGTTGCGAAAGCGAAAATACACAAAATAATGTTGTTTTTAGTAACATCAGTAACAACAATTTTTATGAAAATACCCAAGATGGCTTGAAGAACACAGATAAACTATGTATTGTCGCAGAGTGTTTGTTGTCTTTATGTTTCATCATTCAAAAGTTTGTATCTTCTTTTTACTCAGCCAGAGTGAGAGCTGGATGCCTTTATCCATATTAGGGATTTCCTGGAGCATCATAAGTACTATTACGTCTGTGAGAAGTATTTGGAGTTTCGAGGGTGCCCTCCGGCTTACAGTATGATTGAAACAGACATTACATGTGTTTATAGCACTCAATAATGATTAATGCATCCTATTTGGGAAAAAAAATAGGAA